GGGCGGCTGGCCGGGTGCAGGTGGCAGCGGCCGTTCGCGATGGCATCAGAGAGGCCTGGGGGGCAATTGCCACCCTGCCCCCCGGCCCAGTCCGCCCCTGCCTGATATCCTCTTCAAAGGAGGCTCAGCAAATGAGCCCTCTGTTGCTAGCACAGTGACCATGATATTGGTAGGGAAGAGCACAGAGATGATTAATCAGGGTACTGCTGCTCCTTCATTGTCCAATCAAGGGCTGGGCATTCTTGACCAGGCTGTATTGATTAGTTGCAGTGTGGTCTTTAAGGTGATCACAGACCTGCCTGTGCTTTTTGTTAGGGAATACCTGGTTATCAGCTGGCTGAACAGTGTTAAAAATAATTTTGCAAGTAAACATTTCACATACATTCAGCTGTGTATTTACCTGTTTACCTGGAGTTCAGCTTTAATTCTAAAGGTTTCACAGCATAAAGGGAGATCGCTTTTGACAGTTCTCCCTGTACTGCCCTTAAGCAGATGACACTGGGGATACTCAATATACTGGTAGGGAAAGACCCTGCCTATTAGGGTGTATATACACAAACAGGTTCATATGTATTTTTAATATTAACATGCTTTTGAAATAATGGTGTTTTACAGATATAATTGTCCTGTTTGCAAAAGCAGTGCCACAAATTATGATAAAGGCACATCGGCACGAATAAATACAGCAGCAGTTCTGAACAGACTGAAACCTATATTTCTTTTTCTGGTTTTGCAGGTGGCTCTCCAGTCTAGACTCTGTGACAGCACAAAGATCAAGGAATATCATCCCGTCAATGTGCGCTATATGAATCGCATAGATGAAGTAGATTCAGATTCCGGCGACGATACCACAGTATTATTCTCCATGCCATCCATGACATTAAGGGACAAAGGACCCTGACCATTTCTGTTTGAATGAAACCAAAGGCTAAAAGAATGCACCCGTCCCCACTGAATATGCACTGCTTGAAAGAAAAGACGGAAGGCAAAAGACAACCTTGGAATGCCTGATTAAGGAGCTGTCATCCTCCATTATTAATACTAGCTTGTAAATATTTAATGCTGTAGAACCGGAGCTCCTGACTGCAACACAGCCACAGGACTCACTGGGGTCATACCAACTGCAAATCTCAGGACAAAACATTTGGTGGCCTTACCTACCTGGAAATGCTGAGAGGTGCATGCCCAGCATTTTGTCTTCTAACAATCCTAAGGATATGCATGTCTCTCGAGGTTAATGAACAAAAAGAATCCTGCACGTTACACAAAAACACACACACAAATCTTATAAATATTCTCCTGTGGGATTTACTCGGACTGCATAAACAAGGCCGACTTCTTCTTCGAGCTTCCCTATATCTGAAAGTATTTATTTTTGTGTCCTTGGTGTTAAGTTACATAATTTTTTCTATGCTATCCAGTACAAAGCAACTGATAATAAAACTGACTCATTAAAAGTGGTCAGGCCTTGATTATTGAGTATATTTGGACAGAAATAACTATAATAAATTAGTTAACAGTTGTTAACTATTGCAGTTTTCTTGGTTTTAATATTATGTATAAAGGAGTAGTGAGCTAAAAGCAAACGTACACTTGTAATAGGTTTTCTGTAAAGCAGTCTTGGTAAGTCTTTACTTTTCCTTCCCCCCACTTTTATGTTGACCGGTTCACCTGCAGGAGCCCTGAAAAAGAACCAGTACCTTCAGGTATGAGAACTGTCTCCTCTGCCTCCCAAAGCACTCAGTGCCTGAGCAGCCAACTGCCAGGACCCGGCAATGTCACATGGGAGTAGAGGGGGTTCTTAGACCTGTGTACTCTCTAGTGGGCAAGAAGAATGGTAGGAAGACATGTGAAAGGTAAAAATGGGTTTCTTTCCAAGCTTTCAATTCAGGGAGCTTTTTACATATCCATTATTATTAGCCATATAAAGCATCTATCAGCATCATCTTGTGCTTTTCACTATCTCAGACTTAAAGTGACACTAAACTCAGAAGTTCAGTCTTAAGTACTTTAACTATTAACACAAATGTATCTTTGTTTGTGCCTCACTCAGCTGTACATCCTCAAATCATCTCTGAATTCATACTGACACTCTCCTTCCTTCTGGAGGGTGACTACTTTTGTTCCCCACTACGTTTGTAAAGTAGCCACCGCTCCAAGCTCGCTCCCATGGTGGACTACAATCTTAATACACATACTAAAAAATGAACAATCCATCCTGTATCCACGCATTCAGAAGAATTGTATATGTTGATATATATGTTCTGTAGTTCAAGATAAGAACTTGGAGGGCTCTTTACGAGAACACTGGAAGTGTGAAGAGGACACAAGACCGATCTGAATTTCTGATCACCAGGTTTTTTTTTTGCACGTATCAAACAAATATAACAACATTCTCCCAATTGTACAATTAACAAACCAAAAGGGAGCAAAAAAAAAGTTCGGTGTCAAGATGTACATTCACTTTAACTGTAAAAGTCAAGTGCACAGGTTATCCCTCTTGGCTATGGCTAGCTGCGGACTAAGCTTCAATGAAGTGTCCAAGAGAAAAGTTAGCCATTTGAGGTGGTGGTCAAATTATTTCACAATAAAGCTTTCTTACATTTAAAGCAGAACTCCAGCCAAAAATAAAAACAACTTTTGCTAACCAAACTTACAAACTTTACCAAACCTTCAATCCCTCAAATAGCTGGTGTCATAGCTAATCACATGTGCAGCACCAGGGCCACTGAAATTCAAGTAGAGGCTAAGATGGCACCTTTCTTGGTTGTAAGGGATGGGAGATTGTAGTTCCGCTGTAACATACACCTCACAGTATTCAAAATGGTGGTATCTTTTTTATATATACTACTGTGTAGGTCTAAGACAGTGGTTCTCAACCTTTCTAGGGCCGGGACCCCTTGGTTACATTTGCCAAGTTTTGGTGACCCCCAACCGTAAAATGTAGGAATGCACCAATACTAGTATCTGTGTCCTCTCCAGCCGCTGCAGCGCCATCTAGGAGAACTGACTTATGCGCTAGGAGGAGGCTGAGGAGCCTCTTACCTAGAGCAGCACAAGGCACGTGGGGACCCCCTCAACTGTGTGTTGCGGTCCACTTTTGGGTCGCGACCCACAGGTTGAGAACCACTAGTCTAAGAGATATACCTGCACCCCTGCAAATCCGTTTGAGTGATTAGGAATCATTCTTCATTTCCAGTAAAAAAGTGAACAACCCATTCTCTATCACACATTCAGAAGAATTGTATATGTTAAGATATATGTGTCCTCCTGTTTTTTATTATTCTAAATAAAACAACCCACTACTAATATTGTCCAATTTTTTTTTACCAAGTGGAAAACAAAGACAAAAGGGCTTGTTATCTTTCCTATCCCTGTCCAGAGCTGCATCTTAATTAAAGAAAAAAAAACACGTATGGTGAAAAGTATTAGTAGGAAACAGTGAAACAAACTGCAATAGGCACAATTCACAAAATCATAAAGCATGCCGGATTTTCATTGCCATGCATTATTTACTTATTTCACATTTGAAAATTGATTTTTCAGTTCAGTAAAGAATCTTTCAAGGCTCATATGAATTTACCACATGTCGTTACATTTACTGCATGCACATATTTTATTTTTGAAGTGTTTAACCTCTTTAATACCAGCGTATGTGTCTATTTGGAAGATTGGGATTATTTCCTCGCCGCCATCTAAAAACGTCACTGGAGAGAAGACCTGCGGGTGGCCCCTCCACCCACTAAGCACTCTGTACTGATTCATCAGTAGATGACTCCGTACACAGAGATAGTGTACTGATCCAGGTGGCTTCGTACTATGTGATCGCTGTGATGACCAATCACAGAGATCAAATGCTAGTGTTTACATGGATTGGTCCATCCCCTTCCTCTTACAGCAAATAGAGGAATCCTAGTAATCTATAAATGGAAAATGAATATTTCGGTCAGCAGCTGCTGATCCATTCATTAATATCCACTCAATGTGAGACCTTTTCACCCTCCTCCTCCTCTCATACACATCTGATGTCCAGCCTGTCTCTCTATGTGACCAGTATATTCAGTATATTAACCCTTTACCACCCTTATCCTGCAAATAACTCCATCTCCATAATGCCACGGTATGTGACCTGTTCATTAAGCCCTTCACCTCCTGATCCCTTTAGGTATGACTTGTACAATAATGTACAGTGCCTTGCGAAAGTATTCACCCCCTCAGCATTTTTCCTATTTTGTTGCATTACCACCTGGAATTAAAATGGATTGTTTGGGGGTTTGTATCATTTGATTTACACAACATGCCTACCACTTTGAAGATGCAAAATATTACATATTCACCCTCCACAGAGTCAGTACTTTGTAGAGCCTCCTTTTGCAGCAATTACAGCTGGAAGTCTCTTAGGGTATGTCTCTATAAGCTTGGCACATCTAGCCCCTGGGATTTTTGCCCATTCTTCAAGGCAAAACTGCTACAGCTCCTTCAAGTTGAATGGCTTTCGTTGGTGTACAGCAATCTTTAAGTCATGCCACAGATTCTCAAATGGATTGAGGTCTGGGCTTTGACTAGGCTATTTCAAGACATTTAAATGTTTTTCCTTAAACCACTCGAGTGTTGCTTTAGCAGTATGCTTAGGGTGATTGTCCTGCTGGAAGGTGAACCTCTATCCCAGTCTCAAATCTCTGGCAGACTGAAACAGGTTTCCTTCAAGAATGTCCCTGTATTTAGCACCATCCATCATTCCTTCAATTCTGACCCAGTGTACCAGTCCCTACCGATGAAAAACATCCCCACAGCATGATGCTGCCGCCACCATGCTTCACTGTGAGATGGTGTTCTCAGGGTGATGAGAGGTCTTGGGTTTGTGTCAGACATAGCGTTTTCCTTGAAGTACAAAAAGCTCAATTTTAGTCTCATCTGAACAGAGTACATTCTTCCATATGTTTGGGGAGTCTCCCACATGCCTTTTGGCAAACCACAAATGTGTTTGCTTATTTTTTTCTGCAAGCAATTGCTTTTTTTTTGGACACTCTTCCATGAAGGCCAGGTGTGTGGAGTGTATGGCTTAAAGTGGTCCTATGGATAGATACCCTCAGTCTTTGTGTGGAGCTTTGCAGCGTCCTCATGGTTAACTTTGGTCCCTTTGTTGCCTTTCTGATTAATTCCCTCCATGCCTGGTCTGCGAGTTTTGGTGGGCAGCCCTCTCTTGACAGGTTTGTTAAGGTGCCATATTCTTTTTATTTTTTTAATAATAGATTTAATGGTGCTCTGTGGGATGTTCAAAGGTTTGGATTTTTTAGTAACCCAACCCTGATCAGTACTTCACAACTTTGTCTCTGAGCTTAGAGAGCTCTGTTGTCTTCATGGTGCCACTTGCTTGGTGGTGCACCTTGCTCAGTGGGCTTGCAGACTCTGGGGCCTTTCAGAATAGGTTTATACACTCATGTGACATTTAGATTGTGACGTATAGAAGAGCCCAATGGCCGTCTGCATTGGGCTGTTATTTTAAAAGGAGGATCCCATACTGTATGCCAAAAGACAGATTGGCTGGTAGCAGCATAGCAGGAGGCATGGTTTTAACCGTCTTTCTATAGGAATACTAGCCTACTTACAACCAGTCCACTAGTCCACTACAACCGTGGCAAACTCTCATCCAGACCTCGTCAACTCTTTTCTACCTTCGAGTCTCTACTATGTCCTCCACCACCACCACCCACTAACCCCCTAACTAGCAGTGCCCAGGACATTGCCATTCATTTCAAAAACAAAATAGATACAATTCGGGATCAGATCGCCACTGTCCAATCAACTGCCCCTTTTATTATAATACCAGATCCTCCATCACACTTGTTACTTTCCTCTTTTGACCCTGTCACCACAGAGGAGGTTACTAAGCTTCTCTCTGACACCCACCTCACCACTTGCCCCCTAGACCCTGTTCCCTCAAAACTACTTCGGGCACCCTCTTGCTCTATCCTACACTCTCTTACTCACATTTTCGATCTTTCACTCTCTACTGGAATCTTTCCTACCCCTCTCAAACATGCACTAGTCACCCCAATACCCAAAAAAACTTCACTGGACCCTACCAACCTCAATAACTTACTCCCATTCACCTCTAAACTACTAGAACGCCTTATCTACAACCGCCTGAGTTGCCACCTCGCTAATAACAACCTTTTGGACCTCTTTCAGTCTGGCTTTCGCCCCCTACACTCCACTGAAACCGCCTTCCTAAAACTCACCAATGACCTAATAACAGCTAAAAACAATGGCCACTACTCCTTACTCTTGCTATTAGACCTCTCTGCTGCTTTTGACACTGTTGACCACCCGCTGCTCCTGAAAAAACTCCACTCGCTTGGCCTACTGCTCTCTCGTGGTTCTCCTC